TAATATTTGCGTTTCTTTTCTTTCTGGCCACGCCACGTGGCTTGTGGGATCTTAGTTCCCCAACCAGGAATCAAACCTTGTCTCCCGGCAGTAGAGGTGCGGAGTCCTAACCACTGGACCACCAGGGAATTCCCCCACGTATTTTAATTCTATCCTGTTTTCTAATACTCAACAAGAAATAGTGTATTAAATAGTCAGTGTTTGCTTAGGTTTATTTATATAGTTACCATATTGCCGTCCATTCTTTCTTGCACCTCACGTCTCCTTGGGATGACAAGCTTATGACTAAAGCATGTCCCTTGCAGTTTCTTTTTCTGAGGGTCTGCTGGTGGCTGTATCTCTGTTTTTGTTCATAGCTATGTGATTTGTTTTGCCATGTAACTTAGAGTGTATTTTCGAAATTCAGTGACATTGCTATAATAAAATCCCTTTTATTTCTTCATTCATCCATTATTTATAAGAACAATGTTTCCCAGTTCCTTTATCAATAAAAATGAAGGACAGAAATAAAATTGGTTGTAAAACCTATCTCAATAAGTAATATTCACCCATGAGTCCATAAATGAGTAAGTTTTAAATGCGACATCCACTCAAAAGAAGCATTCTTTTTACATTTACATTTGTTTTACATTAAATTTGAAAAAATATTAATTTAGATCTACGGTATTATAAGGTATTATAAGTATTATAATGGTAGAAGTGTTTAATATATAGAGCCTTCTCTGGTCACAAGACATAAAAAATTGATTTCCATTTATATACATTTTTGAGGCAGAAAGTATGATGTATAGTTATAGTGGCAAAAAAATATATTACATTAGGATAAAATTCTGTAATCTAATCTTGAATGATTAGATTATTTTCCCATTGTTATTGAGATATGATTGACGTACAAACTGTGTAAGTTCAAGATATACAGCACAGTGACTTGATAATTAGATTATTCATTTGTATTTCCTCAACGGCCCTCTCCCTTTGATTGGGAGGAGTCATATAAATGTATGAGGATAGTTTTAATTTGGGATACCGATCGGGTAGGCTGGCTGGTAACAGCTATTAGACCACCCCCCCCAGCCCCTCCTTTCCCCCTAATTAGCTAGAATAAGGGAGAGATGTACTCTAGTTGCCAAGCACTGTAGTTCACTCATTTCCCTTGCCTATCTGCTTTTCCATTTTCTTTTGTGTTTCATAGGTCTGGATTTGTGTTGGGCTCTGCTTTGATTCCCTCTCAACCCCTCCTGTAGGCAGGTAGAGTTCAGTTTCTTCAGGGAACAGTTTTTACATTTTGGCCCATGATCAAGCCACCCCTGCTGCCTACAGCTCAGCATAAGCAAGGGGATCACTGCCCTTCCTGTTTTATTTACTTATTATTGAATATGTTATTATTTTAGTTCATCAGCACTACTCAGAATTACTGCTGCAGTGCTACATGTTCTTTATATTTGTTTCTCAGCCTGGAGCTTCTCTATCAGCTCTAGGCTTCAAAGTCCTTTTTTAACAGCTTTGTTAAATTATAATTCACATATCATAACATCCACCCATTTAAAGTGTACAATTCAGTGGGTTTGTAGAGTTGTATAACCGTGACCACAATCTAATTTTAGAATATTTTCATTATCCAAAAAGAAACCCATTATTAGTCCCCACACCCACACTCACACCCAATGATAGGCAACCACTAATCTATCTTCTCTATAGATTTGCCCTTTTTTGGACATTTCATGTAAAAGAAATCATATAATATTTGACCTTTTGTGACTAGCTTCTTTCATTTAATGTAATGTTTTCAGTGTTTATTCATGTTGTAGCATATATCAGTACTTCATTCCTTTTTATTCCCTAATAATGTGGATACACATTTTGTGTATCCATTCATCAGTTGACGGACATTTGGGTTTTTTCCACTTTTTGGCCATTAGGAATAATGCTGCTGTCAACATTCATATACAGGTATTTGTGTGGATTTATTTATTTAGAAAGTGGAATTTAGAAGTGGAATTCCTTCATTGTATGGTAACTTTATGCTTAACATTTTGAGGAATAGCCGAACTGTTTTCCATAATGGCTGTACCATTTTACATTCTCTCCAGCAAGGTACAAGGGTTCTAGTTTCTCCTCACGCCTGCTAGCACGTTATTGCCTGTATTTTTTGTAGCCATCCTAATAGCTGTGAGATTGCAATTATCTACTGAAGTTGCATTGAGCTAATGACTTACAGTGTTGAACGGCCTTTCATGTGCTTATTGACAATTGTTATATCTTCTTTGGACAAATAGGTCCCTTGCTCACTTTTTTTTAAAAAATAAATTTTATTTATTTATTTATTTAGGCTGTGTTGGGTCTTTGTTACTGCACGCGGGCTGTCTCTAGTTGCGGCGAAAGGGAGCTGCTCTTCGTTGCGGTGCACAGGCTTCTCATTGCAGTGGCTTCTCGTCCTGGAGCACGGGCTCTAGGCCCACGGGCTTCAGTAGCTGTGGCACGTGGGCTCAGTAGTTCTGGCACACGGGCCCTAGAGCACAGGCTCAGTAGCTGTGGCACACGGGCTTAGTTGCTCCGTGGCATGTGGGATCTTCCCGGAACAGGGCTCAAACCCGTGTCCCCTGCATTGGCAGGTGGGTTCTTAACCACTGCGCCACCAGGGAAGCCCTTGCTCACTTTTTAAATTGGGTTATATGTCTTTTTTATCATTGAGGTGTAAGAGTTCTTTATATATCCTGGATACAAATCTCTGGCAAGTACATGATTTGCAAGCAGTGTTTCCCATTCTGTAGGTTATCTTTCCACTTTTGTGATGGCATCAATTGCAGCACAAGTTTTAAATTTTGATGAAGTCCAGCTTATTTTTTTCTTTTGTTACTTGTAGGGTCATGAAAATTTATACCTATTTTTCTTCTACGAGTTTCATGATTTTAACTTACACATTTATGTCTGTGATCCACTTTCAGTTAATTTTTGTATATGGTGTGAGGTAGACATCCAACTTTATTCTTCATTCCTATCCAGTTGTCCCAGCACCATTTGTTATAAAGCTTTTTCATTTTTCCCCCATTGAATGGTTTTGGCACCCTTGTTGAAAATCATTTCACCATAAATACAGAGTTTATTTCTGGACTTTAATTCTACTCTTTTGATCTATATGTCGTCTATATGTCTATCCTTATGCCACCATCACACTGTCTTAATTACTAAAGCTTTGTAGTAAAGTTTTGAAATTTCTGAAATGTGAGTCTTCCAACTTTATTCTTTGCAGGATTTTTTTTGGCTATTCTGGCTCTCTTGCATTTCCATATGAATTTTAGGAATAGTTTGTCAGCTTCTGCCAAAAATGCAGCTAGGATTTTTATAGGGATTATGCTGATTCTTTTTTTTTTTTTTTGGCTGCACCACACAGCATATAGAATCTTAGTTCCCTGGCCAGGGATCAAACCCACACCCCCTACAGTGTGGATGGAAGCGTGGAGTCTTAACCACTGGACCGACAGGGTAGTCCTTGATTCTTTTAATCAATTTGGAAGTATTGCCATCTTTACAGCGTTGATATTTCCTATCCATGAGCACAGGATGTTTTTCCACTTATTTAGACCTTTAGTTCTTTCAACAATGTTTATAGGTCTCAGAATGTAAACTTTGTACTTCTTTCGTTAAATTTATTCCTAAATACTTTCTTCTTTTTGATGATATTATAAATGGAATTTTGTTCTAAATTCGTTTTTGGATGGCTCATTGCAAGCATTTCGAAATACAATTGATTTTTATATATTTATCTTATGCCCTGCAAACTTGCCAAATTTATTTATTCTAATAGTTTTTTAGTGGATTCCTTAGGATTTTCTGTATACAAGATCATTTCATCTGCAGATACAGTTTTATTTCTTCAGACATCCTTCTTAGGGGGAAGCATCTCATTTTTTACCATTAAGTATGATGTTAGCTGTGGGTTTTTTGTAGATGGCCTTTATCAGGTTTAGGAAGTTCCCTTCTATTTTTAGGTTCTTGAGTGTTTTTATCTTGAAAGTGTTTAAATTCATGGTACTGAATTTTGCCAAATGCTTTTTCTGTACCTATTCTGATGATCCTGTGGTTTTGTCCTTTATTATATTAATATGGTGATTGATTGATTTTCAGCTGTTAAAACCAAGCATGCATTCCTAGGATAAAAGCCACTTGGTTATGATTTATAATTCTTTTAAATATTGGTATATTTGCTCATATTTTGCTGAAGGTTTTTGTGTTTGTATTCATAAGGGATACTGGTCTGTAGTTTTTTCATGATATTTTTGTCTGGTTTAGGTATTGGAATAATACTGGCCTTGAATGAGTTGGGAAGTGTTTCCTCTTATTTTTTAGAGTTTATAATGGATTGGTATTAATTCTTACTTAACTGTTGATAGAACCCATGTGTACCCATTTGGGTCTGTGCTTATCTTTGTGGGATGTTCTTAAGTTATTTTATTCCCTTGTTATTTTAATACTTCAGATGTTCTCTTTCTCCTTGAGTTCTTTTGGTAGTTTGTGTCTTTCTAGGAATTTGTCCATTTCATCTAAGTTATTTGTTAGCATACAGTTTTTCATAACATTACTTTATAATCCTTTTTATTTCGGTAGCTTCTACTGCTATTTCAAAGTATTTGGGGGGTGCTGTTTTTGTTTTCCACATCCAACCGCTTTTCTTCTTCTAGGAATTCACAGTTTCAGTTGGCTGACCCTTCCTTGTCTTGCATCACTTTTTTGTCTCTATTCTCTTAAAAATATTTTTGTGCTAAATACTTAAGTGGAAGTAGGGGTGAGTTTAGGTAGATGGAGGTTCTGTCTAATTGTCATCCAGATGCAGTTCTCACCACTTTGGTTCTTGGAAGTTAACAACCATTCTTTAATTTCATTGTTTCAAACAATTTGATGGCAAAAATAATAAGGTCTTTCTTTGTAAACTGTTCAGATTTTACTCAAAGCAAGTAAATGTTTAATAATTTGTATTACTAATTTGCATTTGCTTGATCTAGTTTCAGAAGCCCTACAGGTGGCAACTACTAGTCCAACTGCCAATACTGCTGGTACTGCTGCTCCTTCCTCCACCACTGTGGGTGCAGTTAAGCAAGAACCTCTCTACTCTACTTCATCTGCAGTAAATATCCTGGAAAATAGAAACTCTGCAGAACCCCCAAAGTCCATCGAACTTGATGGTCTTCCTTCAGACCAGTTTGCAAAAGGACAGGACACTGTTGCCATAGAAGGTTTTACAGATGAGGAGAGCACAGAAAGTGGAGGAGAAGGCCAATACAGAGAGCGCGATGAATTTGTGGTAAAGATAGAAGACATAGAGACTTTTAAGGTGATGTGAATGTTCACAGGTATAAAGGTCATAGCTTAATGGGCGTGCCCTATGGTAGCCTTCATGATGACTTTTAATACCATGCATCTAGCTTGAATTGTGAAAAGTTATATTTTTATAATTCTGTTGTCATAATTGTTAAATAATGAAATCAAACTAGAGATGTCAGGTATTTTGAAAAGGAAAATAGCTTAAACTAATTTTAAGTCATCTCTGAGTTTTGTGTATTTCTGATTGGTCAGTATATTGCATTTAGCTACTAGTAATTAGAGCAGTTTTGAAATGTTAATTTTTTTCAAAGCTTCCAAGTCATTTGTATTATTAGAAGTTTGGAGAAAATGGTTATTTATCTAATTTAAAAGTTTAAAGAAAATAACAGGAATACAATGTAAAAGTAGAATTAGACTTTTTTCACAGTTTCAAATTGCAGAATGTTACAATTTCATATAAGAAATTTTTAGCAGTGTTTAAGAAAACTTATTTTGGGGTTTTTGTTTGCTTGCCTTTGATTTTATTTTTTAATTGGGGTGGAGAGAAATGGTATTAAAAATACAATGAAGAACATAATATTTAAATTATCCATATTCCTTCCATTCACAATTAACTGTTGTTAATATTGTAGCATATTTGTTTCTGGTCTTTTTGAATATGTACATACTGTTATAAAATTGCATAAATAATGTATGACAGTATCATTAGTGGAAAATTTTCCAATAGCTATACAAAAGGGTAATGGGTTACTTTGCATGTTTGTGCTCCCTGTTTCTGGAAGAATTTAAGCAGAGATTGAATAGCCCACTTAAAAGAATTACTGCAAAAGTTCAGCTAGGTAAAAGATAAAAGGTTGAGCTAGGTAGGTCTTTAAGATTCCTTTCAGCTCTAAGATTCTATAAATCTAGAATATGTTGATAGTTTCTATAAATGTTGTTAATACTTCTTATTACAGGAGGCTTTAAAAGCAGGAAAAGAACCCCCAGCTATCTGGAAAGTACAAAAAGCTTTATTACAGAAGTTTGTTCCTGAAATTCGAGATGGGCAAAGAGAATTTGCTGCTACAAATAGTGTAAGTAAAATGCTTGTTTACATTAACCTTCCTAGTTTTTGACAGTGATCCTGGGTAAAATGCAGAATGATGTAAATTTAAATGTATTGTTTAATGTATGTATATTGAGCATTTCTGAGATAAAATATTAAAATTGAAGTACAGAGTATATGATACTGATTTTAAAATAAAATTGATGTCTAAATACCAGCTACTTAAATTGCTTAACTTTTTATTTTTTTAAATAAAGGAAAGGAATTAGTGTTAGTCTGCGAAGAATTCAGATGGACTCAGAGACTCTTATATTGATTGTTCTGCCAGTCAGATATCCTGATTTACCAAGAAGACTTACAGAATTATTTTCTACCTAAGTAGTTGTTTAATAGCACTAAGTGAGCATCTGATGATCAGCCAAATAAGATTGCATCTATATATGGGCTTGCAGTTAAGAGTGAGGCTGGAATCATTTTTATCGAGGGTACAATTAGCCTGACCAGAGCTGCATTTCGAAAAACTTGAAGGATGGCTCTATGACAGTCTGTCAAGACAACAAAGTAATATTTATGTACAGAATGTACAATTATGTAATTCAAAGTGTTTCTTTCCTTAGTACCTTGGATATTTTGGAGATGCAAAGAGTAAATACAAAAGGATATATGTGAAGTTCATTGAAAACACTAACAAAAAGGAGTATGTCAGAGTGTGTTCCAAAAAGCCAAGAAATAAGCCTTCACAAACTATCAGGTATTTATTATTTTATGTAATATGTTTGTAGTAATTATTGGAAGGCTTATTATTGGCAATGTCTTGTACAAAGAATTACATCAATTAAAGAGGCTGATTTTTTTTTTTTTCCATTATGTACAAGTCTGAAAATTCAGTGCCTGATGTAATAAGTGATTCTTTTTGAAGTAATGAGACAGGAACTGTAAAGCCCATGGCTATCATGGTGGGATGGGTACCCTTTTCTTCCCTGAGTCCTTTTGGTGTCACCCTAGTATAGTGAAAAAAATTGGATTTACAGTCTAAAGGTTTGAATCCATCTTTTTGTGACCTAGATTAAGATAACCTTTCTAGGGACTTCCCTGGTGGGCCAGTGGTTAAGACTCCATGCTTGCACTGCAGAGGGCCCAGGTTCGATCCCCGGTCGGGGAACTAAGATCCCACGTGCAGTGTGGCCAAAAACAAAGAAGAAAGAAAAAAAAGATAACCTTTCTAAGCCCTCTTTTTTATCCATAAATAAAGTGAAAATAATAACGGAATGTCAAATTTAAAATGAAAAAAAATTGAGCCTGTACATTACAAGTACAATAGAATTGTCATCATGTATTAATGTGACTCTGGGTTGTCTGGAGCGTGAATTTGGAAAACAGATGACCTAGCCACATTCCCTTTGATCTCTATGGGAAAGGGGGTGTGAACTTTGATATTCTCAATCTAGTGCTAGGAAGATCTAGTTTAATGAAGATTCCAACTTATTGGACACAGCCCACCTTATTTTTATGATGCAATTTTATCCACTCCCTCAAATCTCCAGAACTAGTATATAGCAAATCTTATTGAGGGGCTCTAAAACAGGTGCAGTTGGGATTCCACATCAAAACCTGGCACCACCAGAGCCTGTGAGAGTTTCTGACGTGACTGTAAGTCCATTGATAATCTGCCGTGTACAGCCTCATAGTCAGGAAAATGTATTTACAAAGGGAAAGGAAGAGTGGAGGGAGAGAGAGAAATAGGGATGGAATTAATATAGTACCTTATTAACTGAATATTGAATGTCAGTGGTTAAAGAGTATATTTCAAGAGACTTTTGGAGGAATCACCATTGGAGATGTGTAGGACTTAGACTTTATTTCGGAGATACTGGTGAGGTAAATAAACTTTTCTTCACCAGTGTTTCTCGGGTTTTTGTCTGATTTATTTTATTTTATTTTATTTATTTTTGGCTGCATCACACGGCACGTGGGATCTTAATTCTCTGACCAGGGATCAAACCCACACCCCCACCTACAGTGGAAGCGCAGAGTCTTAACCACTGGACCGCCGGGGAAATCCCTCGTCTGATTTATTTTAATTTGACAAGATTTCAGTGCGTTAATGAAGTCTGTTTGTAACATTGCAGAACTGTTCAGGCTAAGCCAAGTAGTAGCAATAAAACTTCTGATGTTCCAACACCAAAAACTACAACGACAAAAGCCCCTTCCATGAAACCCAAAGTTAAACAGTTAAAAGTAAAGGCTGAGCCACCACCAAAGAAAAGGAAGAAATGGAAAGAAGAATTTTCATCATCCCAATCTGACTCATCTCCCGAGATCCACTCTAGTAGTAGTGATGATGAGGGTGAGTTCTCCCTGAAATGAATACCTTGCTAACTTTAGATTATGTACATTAATGGGGAGGAGCAGTGATGCTGACAATTCAAAATGTATTTACTTTTACTTAATTAGGGAATTTAGCTACCTAATTAAGTTCTGCTTAGGCATATATTTGCCCATGACTGAGCTAGATAACTGTGCCTTAGTTTCTCTTTTATAAAGTGAAAAGGTTGAAATAGATAGCAGTTATCAAACTTTTTGACCTTAGAGCCCTTCTATGCTGTTAAAAACTGTTGAAGACACCAAAGAGCATTTATGTAGGCTATAGATATTGAAATTTACTTCATTAGAACTTAAACCTGAGATAGCTGTAAAACACAGAATATACCAGGAAACATTCCATCAGCCATCAAACTTGTTGTGTAATATATGCAAGAAATTTTTAGCAGTTCAGTAGTCTAGAGCAGAAGTAGGCAAACTACTACTAGTGGGCCAAATCTGATCTGCAGCCTATTCTTGTAAATAAAGTTTTATTGGAACACTGGGATTCATTTACATATTTTCATACAGTTACTTTCCCATTACAGTGACGGATTTGAGTAGTTACTACAGAGAGTATATGACCATTAAAGCCCCAAATATTTACCATCTGGCCCTTTACAGAAAAAGTTTGCTGACCCTTCTTCTAGAGCATACATTTGAAGGTAGTCAGGAAAAGACGAACGGATGATGGAAGGCTGCATATGCCATGCTAAAGCTAAAAAGCTTGGGATCCTGTAAGCAAAGGGGAGTCCTTGGAGGGATTTAAGTAAGGGAGCAACATGGTAAAATCTGAATTTGAATTACGGGACATCACAGTTCAGGTATAAATTGAAAGTAAGTCTGAACCTAAGTTTTGGCAGCAGGGATGGAGGAGAGAGGACACATTTGAGAAATTCAGGATGTAATCTTGGCAGAACTCAAATGATGAATCGGGTGTTGGGGGCACTGTTGAGGTTGATGTCCAGGATGGTTTCTGACATTTTAAGTATCACTGCTTGGGAGCTGATCTTAGAGATTACTTGGATAGAAACAGAATTATAATAAAAACTCTTCAGTACAGAAGTTTACTTTAAATGTATTGTTTTTAAAAGCTACTTGTGAACTGTTGTTCAGAAGTAGGCACGTCAGAATTTATAAAGAAATTTAGTGCTTTGAGTATGTGTGGAAGGCATTATACGTAATTTCGCAGTTAGCATTTCTGCCTACTGTCTAGAGAAGTTTGGGTTCTGAATTTGCACTCAGTTATTTATACAGCTTCCTCAAATGACAAGGTGAAAATTTTCTTTCATTGGTAACTTGTTACCACTAGGTGTCACTAACAGGCAAGCATTTTTAGTGCTTCTTAAAAAGAAGGCAAATATTGATAATAAACATAGATTTATAGGCTGGTGATTTTCAGGCTGTTTGTTTCAAGACTTCTTTATAATCTTCAAATTTACTGAGGATTCCAAAACACTTTGTGTGTGTGTGTGTGGCCTGTATCTATGTATATCACCAAGTATCAGTTAAAACAGACAATTTTAATATATTTTCAATAAACCCATTACATATTCACATAAGTTTTTTTAAACAATTGTATTTAGTTAGAAGAATAGCATTTTCATATTTGCTTCTGTATTCAGTTTGTATATATATTATTTTGGTTAAAGTATATGAAGAATACCCAGCCTCACATTAGCTATGTAGTTGGGAAAGAGAGGAGTATTTTGATTACCTTTTCAGATAATTATGAATATTTTTCTTTGATACTCAAAGGATTTTATTTGATAAACTTGACAAGTGGTAGCTTCTTCAACTTTTCATGCTTATTACATTAAAATCTATTGGCTTGTTTTACCCTTTGAGGTATCTTTCATCCATGAATGATTTTATAACATTTTTTGGTAATGTGAAAATATCTGTTAGCTCATTGATGTACATAGTCTATTTCATTTTTTTTCCACATTTTAAAATGTGGTAAAATATATATAACATAAAACTTGCCACTTTTAACCATTTTTAAGTGGACGATTCAGCAGCATTAATTATATCCACACTGTTGCTCAACTGTCACAGCTATTTCCAAAACTTCCTGATCACCCCAAACAGAAACTTTGCAGCCATCAGGCAATAACTCCTCCTTCTCCCTTTCCCCCAGCTGCTGGGAATCTCTAATCTATTTTGTCTCCATGAATTTGCCTACTCTTCATATCTCATATAAGCGTGGCTTATTTCACTTAGCATAATGTTTTTAAGGTTCATCCATGTTACAGAGCATATATTAGAACTTACTAGTTTTTATGACTGAATACAATTCCATTGTAAGTTTATCCACTGTATGTTCTTGTTTATCTTTTTATCTATTGATGGACACTTGGGTTGCTTCCACATTTTGGCTGTTGCAAATAATGCTGCAGTGAACATTGGCATATAAATATGTTTGTGTCCTTGTTTTCAATTATTTAATCACCTAAGAGTGGAATTGCTGAGTCATATAATTATATGTTTAGCTTTTTGAGGAACTGCCAAACTTTTTCGACAGTGGTTGCACCATTTTACATTCCCACTAGCAATGCACAGGGTTCCAGTTTCTTCACATCCTCACCAGTACTTGTTATATTTTGGTTTTTGATTATAGCTATTCTAGTAGGTGTGAAGTGGTATCTCATTGTGGTTTTGATTTGTATTTCCCTAATAACTAATGATGTTGAACATCTTTTTAGTTGCTTACTAGCTATTTGCTTATCTTCTTTGGAGAAATGTCTATTCAAATCCTTTGCCCATGGGCTTCCTTGGTGGTGCAGTGGTTGAGAGTCCGCCTGCCGATGCAGGGGACACGGGTTCATGCCCCGGTCCAGGAATATCCCACATGCCGCGGAGTGGCTGGGCCCGTGAGCCATGGCCGCTGAGCCTGTGCGTCCGGAGCCTGTGCTCCACAACGGGAGAGGCCACAACAGTGAGAGGCCCGCGTACCGCAAAAAAAAACAAAAACAAAAACAAAAACAAATCCTTTGCCCAGTTCATGTCTCCTTTTGTTCTTGAGTTGTAGGAGGTCTTTATATATTATAGATATTAAACCCTTATTAGACATATGATTTGAAAACATTTTCTCCCATTCTCCCATAGATATTTCAGTTTTTTGTTTGTTTGTTTGGTAACAAACCACTAGGTAAGGCTCCAGCAGTTTTACCCAACATTCCTTTTACAAATGTCAACAGAGTGAAAAAGGTATATAACATCTTAATATTATTAGGAAAACAGTTTGACATCAGAGACCCCTGAAATGGTTATGGGGGGAGACCCCGAGTGGTCCATGGACCAAAGTCTAAGAACCCCTGTTAAAGGCCGTGATAATAGTTCTATACTTGAATGAAAAGAGTCAAAATTCAGACACACCTCTAATCTTGCAGTTCTTGCCATTGAATTTGAGTGAAATTTTCTTTATGCACAGGCTATGTTTACATTAAAATTTTTTTTAATATGTGTTGACTCTAGACCAGAATTTTAGAGTAATTTAAGTGTAGAAGTAAAAAGAAGAGATACGTATATATTAACTCATACATTAGGTGTTTTATGGTTTCTTTACTAATTAAATACTGTAGAGAAACCATCAGTTTTGAAGTAGCACGACCTGGCAGCAGATGTCTGGTAGGGCCAGGGGAGGAGAAACAGGTTCCTATGGGGCAGATGTTTCCAAATGCTGGGCTGGTGTTGGGCTTCAGAGGCACCTGGGAACTTTTTAAAAAGTATAACATTTAAGCTTCATCACCACTACCACCATTACCACCCCAGGTTCTGTTTTAATAAGTCCAGCAATCTGTTTTTTGTTTTGTTTTGTTTTAAAAGCTCTCCAGTGATTGTGATGTGCAAAACCACCTTTGAGAATCTCTCACCCAGGGTGTTTTTAAAGGCAGAGTGGGAGAGCCTTGAATTTGAAGAAATTTTATCTACAACCTTTTATCTGCTTATAGATACTGTAGAGCAGAGTGTTTTTAAAGTTGTCAGGAAGGAGTATTTAATATTTCATCTTTTCTCCCTCCCAGAATTTAATCCTCCAGCTCCCTTTGTCACTCGTTTTTTGAACACAAGAGCAATGAAGGAAACCTTTAAGAGTTACATGGAATTGCTTGTTAGCATTGCTTTGGATCCTGACACAATGCAAGCCTTAGAGAAGAGCAACGGTACAGTCTGCTAAGTAGTACTTTCTTGGTAGTACTTTCTGGATCTTTTTTATTCTTCTCTGTTAGTTACATGTTTAATATGTGGTTTTTGTATATGTTGTCAGTTAACAAACTGTTGATATTGATTCTATAAAATGGGGTCATAGCTTTTCATGAATTGTTTGAATATATGAACAATTTTATATTGAATATATTTTTATTGATTTCTACTCATGAGAATATTATGTAACTACCCACTAGTTTCTTTCAATTCTAGAATCTTTATCATCTTCATAACATTTCACCAATTGTCTGAGTTGCATGGAAGGTCCAGATGTCAATATATTCTGTTTTCTAATAATTGGAAAGATAATAATGGTGTAAAGGTTAAAATTGTATATTCGTGTCCAGTAAAAGATACATCACAATTATTTTCTAATCAATTAGTAGTAAAACAATAAATGCCTTGGGTTATATTTATTAATATTATTCTTTTTTTACTCTTCCTTTAGTAACTTTTTCTTATGGTAGAGTAGGGATGAAATTGACATACAAAATAAACTGGTAATTTATATATCTAATGTTGCTCACTAACATTTATCCTTCAGCTACTATAGCATTCACCAGGGACAACTAGAAGAGAGAATAAAAGGATTACCGAGTCAGTTTCCATTATCCTTCTATCAAAATGAGTTGAACAAGTGTAAGATCAAAAAGATAGTAACAATGAATAATCAGTAACAATATACTTCAACAGCAGTGCCTGATAATGTATATTGTTTTATTATTTCCACATACTTTGACATACATTATTCTATATTAATCCCAGAACAACTTAGACAGCCATTTTTTGGGTGAAGACAATGATGCTCAAAAAGGTTAAGTGAAAAAAAAAAAAAAAAAAAAAAAGGTTGTGACTTGCTTAAGAGCCCACAACTTGCAAGTAGCAGAGAAAGGATTAAATCCAAGGTCTTCTAATTTCTAGTCTTGCTTTTTTGACTATATAATCAGAGGCAGTAATTCATACATCAACTATTGTAGAGCTGGAAGAGATGCTAGAGAAGATATTAAATGTGTTTCCTAAAGTTACAGAACAAGTTAGTGGTAGAAGAGCCACAATCAAAACCCAAAATTAATTCCCTAGGTCAGCATTTTGCCAGTAAACGTTTTCTCTCTCAATCAAAACTCCTTGCATCATAAAATATGTGTTTCTTAGTAGTGATCATTTCTGGGTGGTTGTATTTTAAATGATTTTTTTTCTATTGCTTATCATTTTTTTAAAAAAATTTTCTCCATTTAAAATGAGGGATGAAAAATTTAATGGTTATGCTTAAAAATAATCCACAAATGTTTAAAACTTATTTGTGTGAAATGTAAATTTTTATAATATTTGAATAGATTCAATCACTGCTAGAAAGATAAAAAGAAAGCTATCAGGTGTGTCGTGGTGATCTTAGAAAGCATTCCTTACTGAGGACTTTTTCTTCAATTTGAGGAAGGTGTTCTTTTGCTGGTCTCTGTGCTTGTGTTTATTTTCCAATTATAAAGAGTCATTTTGTTTAGCTATGAAATTAGTAACCAGATTCTGAGGGTTATATATACATTTTCAGAAAGGTCATTAAAGCTAATTAGTATTACAAAATGTTGTTATGCTGATAAATTAAGAAATAGTTTAGTAACCTAAAATATTTAATACAGCACTAAAAGTAATTAACTTATACTCTGAAAGTGTTTCTCTTAAAAGAGCTTAAAGTTTCAGAAGGGTAAAAAAGAAATCATAATCTTTGGGTAGGAAACCTTCATCATACTTTTACTCTCCCGTTTTCTCCAACAACTATTTTGACTCTTCCCTTGTGTATTTGAAACTGGATTTTGACTATTTTTCTTGCCCTACTTTTTCTTTGCCCCAAACTATAGTGAATTAAGAATATCATACTCAAAAAAAAAAAAAAGAATATCATACTCAGTATTTTATTAAAATTTTTAATGTTAAATTTATGTTTTGGAATACTGTTGTCATTCACATGGTAAATGAGGTCTGAAGAGATTAGGCAGTTTGCCCACTGGTTGATCAATTCTGGTGGCATAGACGGGGTTAAAACCCAGGACTTTTGATTCTTTCATCACACTATGCTACTTCTTTCTCACTTAGCTATTGTAAACCTGTTTTTTCAAGGTAACTTTTGTTCAAAAAGCTTCATGTGCAATATTTTTAAATCAATACTTGACACAATCAATGAATTTAATGTCAATCTATTAATGTTTTAAAGAAAAGCTGTATTTCTAACAAGTTTTTTTGTTGACAGTTTATCCTGTCACAATAAATTTTTATCTTGTTTTAGATGAGCTACTTTTGCCTCATATGAAAAAAATAGATAGCATGCTGAATGATAACCGAAAGAGACTCCTTTTGAATCTTCACTTGGATCAGTCATTCAAGGTATTTCCGTCAGGTGGTTTATTAGCAAACTCAGTGGCAATCATAGTCTTAGATATAATAGGAAAGAAAATTTTGGGAAGTCATTCTCAGTTTTATAAGATTTTTCCACCCAACAAAAATTTGGTTTTTATTCATTATGAGTCTTGTCTGAGCTTGTCTTTTTATTTTATTAAGTATATTCTTAGTGTTAATCATTTGCTTTTCTCGCTTAAATTCATTTTTCAGGTTTTTATATTCATCTCGTATTCCTTATATATAATAATTTCCAAATGTTTTCAAAAATACTTCCTTTAAACTACTGTATTCCAATCTTGTTTTTCTTTTAAACCTCTTTAAAAATTTCACATTTCATATATACTTAAAATTGGCCTTAGCACAGTTATCAAAATTCCCTTTACTTGCCTGCATTACTCAGTATCTGAGGACAAATTGATCCTCACCTAATGGCAGGAGGTATATACGTCTGTTAACGTATCTTGGCACTATAAATTGGGTTTTGGTGTTACCAGAAATAGAGAAAAAGCTAATCTAAACTCAGAAAATAGGGCTTCCCTGGTGGCGCAGTGGTTGAGAGTCCGCCTGCCGATGCAGAGGACACGGGTTCGTGCCCTGGTCCGGGAAGAGCCCACATGCCGCGGAGCGGCTGGGCCCGTGAGCCATGGCCGCTGAGCCTGCGCGTCCAGAGCCTGTGCTCCGCGACGGGAGAGGCCACAACAGTGAGAGGCCCGCGTACCGCAAAAAAAACAAAAAACAAAACAAAAAAAAAAACCCAAAAAAAATAAACTCAAAATATATCATAGAAGCTACTTAGTAGTCAAAACTTTCCCGCCTTTTCTTACTCAAAGTATAACATGTGGGCTTCCCTGGTGGTGCAGTGGTTGAGAGTCCGCCTGCCGATGCAGGGGACACGGGTTCGTGCCCCGGTCCGGGAAGATCCCGCATGCCGTGGAGCGGCTGGGCCCGTGAGCCATGGCCGCTGAGCCTGCGCATCCGGAGCCTGTGCTCTGCAACGGGAGAGGCCACAACAGTGAGAGGTCCACATACCGCAAAAAAGAAAAGAAAAGTATAACATGTAACACCTAGAATCATTTGATTATATCTCTCTCAAGAGAAGTTTTTAGCTTTTTAGAAAACAGACTATATATATATATATATATATATATATATATATATATATATATATATAATTTATTTATTTATTTATTTTTTTGCTGTACGCAGGTCTCTCACTGCTGTGGCCTCTCCCACTGCGGAGCGCAGGCTCAGTGGCCATGGCTTACGGGCCCAGCCACTCCGTGGCATGCAGGATCTTCCCGGACCAGGGCACGAGCCCGTGTCCCCTGCATTGGCAGGCGGACTCTCAACCACTGTGCCACCAGGGAAGCCAAAAACAGACTATATTTTGGAGCAGTTTTAGGTTCACAGCCAAATTGAGCAGGAAGTACAGAGTTTCCATGTGTCCCCTGCCGCCACACCTGAATAACCTCCCATTACCAGCGTCTCCCACCAGAAGGTCATGCTGATGAACCTGCACTGACACATCATTACAACCCAAAGTCCATAGTTTACGTGACAGTTCACTCTTGTACATTCCATCGATTTGGACAGACATAACCACTATCATAGTATCGTACAAAGTAGTTTCACTGCCCCCCCAATCCTCTGTGCTCTGTCAGTTTCTCTCCCCCAGCCTCTGGCAACCACTGATCTTTTTACTTTTACTCCATAATTTTACCTTTTCCAGAATGTCATATAGTTGAAACCATACACTATGTAGCTTTGGCTACAGATTGGCTTCTTTCACTTACTAATATGCATTTAAGGTTCTGCCATGTCTTTTCACGGCAATAGTGAAATAGTTTCTTTCTTTTTAGCCTGAATAATAATCCATTGTCTGAATGTACCACAGTTTATCCATTCACCTACTGAAGGACTGGTTGCTTCCTAGTCCTGGCAATTACTGCTAGACATGTCTGTGTGAACTTATGAGTGGACATAAGTTGTCAACTCCTTTGGGCAATTTGTATAGCTTTTTCACATCCCTATTTTATCTGAACTCCACATAAAAGTGAAAATCGACTTCATTTTAGCTAGGTGAAAATTAAGGCTCTGAGATTAGACGTTATATGACACCAAACTCTGACTAGTAGTCCTGTATTCTTCACTGACATGTATTGATACTTGCAGAGGGGAAAGAAAAAGGTCAGAAGCTAGTAAGACACCCCGTGCTAAGAATTTGTTCTGCTCACTCCTAGTCCAGTATTTTCTGTTTAACTGCTGTCTTCAAATGAAATATTTTGGGGAGAAATACCATGTTTTCTGCAGACAATGGAATTATCTGAATATTTACTAAATCTTAAAAATGACCGGTTTTGGCTAACCATTTTAGAGATGTCAAACCAGTTCTCTAACAACTTGTATTAAAATAAAGCCACCCGGACTTCCCCGGTGGTCCAGTGGTAAAGAATCCACCTTAGAATGCAGGGGAGCCGGGTTCAATCCCTGGTCAGGAAACTAAGATCCCACGTGCTGCGGGGCAACTGAGCCCATGCACCACAACTGCTGAGCTCACGCGCCTCAACTAGAGAGCCTGTGTGCCGCAAACTGCAGAGTCTACGCCCTGGAGCCTGCACGCCACAACTAGAGAGAGAAGCCTACATACCTCAGTGGAGATCCTGCGTGCCACAACTAAGACCCAACATAGCCAAAAATAAATAAATAAAATAAATAAATAAATCTTTACAAAAAGAAAAGGCCACCACTTGGAATTTAATAGACTCGGTAGAATTTTTTTTTTTTTTTTTTTTTTTTTTTTGCGGTCCGGGGCCCTCTCACTGTCCCAGCCTCTCCCGTTGCAGAGCACAGGCTCCGGACACGCAGGCTCAGCAGCCATGGCTCACGGGCCCAGCCGCTCCGCGGCATGTGGGATCTTCCCGGACTGGGGCACGAACCTGTGTCCCTTGCATCGGCAGGCGGACTCTCAACCACTGCGCCACCAGGGAAGCCCTCAGTAAATATTTAAATCTTATGCAATAGTTTATGGTGAACAAGTGAAAAATTCATTTTCATATTCTTGTTTTCACAGGAAAAAACACAAAATTTCTAATTTTGAAATTATAGTTATTTAATATAACTATAAATGATAACAGTGATGTCTATGATAGATAGTTTTCATTTATAGCAATTTGCATTTCAAAGCCAAAATATGCACACAGTATTAAAAGTTAGAATGAAGCTAGAAACAAATAGCTCACTATGGTAGGAAATGCCAAAAATTCTATTATTTCTATTAATGAAACAGTTCACTCCTACACCTTTATTTAAAAAATTAAGTTGTTTTAAAATGCACTGTTTGAGGGGTCACAGTACCAGGTGCTTGGGAACCTATATAGAGTTTGGAAAAGAGTGGCCTTGAAGGTTGAAACTGTTTATAAACAGTTGGAGCTTACAAATGTCCTTCTTTCCCCTGCCTTGAAGCCAGAGAGGCATTACTAGTCTTACTCATTTGGGAGTCTCCATAGTGTCACATGCTGTTGCTTAAATCAGGTCATAAGTTTGGCCCAGATCCAGGGGATGGGGAAATAGGTTCCACATCTTGATGGGAGGAGCTACAGAGAATTTGTGGCCATGTTTAACACCCCACATATGTTTGTGTATGTATGTATCGATTGTATATATTTACCGCACCCCATCAGTACCCCCCCACATATATTTTTTGTGTATATGTACATGTATGAATATATTTCTATATTTTTAAAAAATAAGTTTTGAATAGCTGGAAGTAGTTGAGATCACTTTTCTTCTGATGTCAGTTATTTTTGCTTTATTTTATTTTAAAGAATGCCTTGGAAAGTTTTCCTGAACTAACAATAATTACTCGAGACTCTAAAACAAAAAGTGGGGGATCTGCTATTTCTAAAATCAAAATGAATGGCAAAGCTTATAATAAAAAAACTCTAAGAACTTCTAAAACAACTACTAAATCTGCACAAGTAAGTATATATTGATTGATGTAATTATACCTTTTCTAGTTGTCAATATAAATCCTACTTCAAACATTGAAACAAGCAAATATTTTACTCTGTTGTTAAATGTGAAGTGTTTTCAGGTAGGAATGAGCAGCTCTGGCCTACATAGGGACTCGTTCTTACTCTTTGTTTTTCTCCATTGCCTAGCACAGTATCTGGTATATGGTGAGTGCTCTCAAATTTTCTAAATAAGACTAATAATCATCCCATGCTTATAATTGTATTTTTAATATTTTTGTGTGTCACTGGGTGCAAATACATACAGATAAGTGGATGTGCACACATTCCATAAGATTCAATATTCCATATCTGTAAAATTATTAAAATTGGAATTCATTTATTTTCAAACATAGTCTAAATTATTGCCTCTTCAGAAAGCAGTTTAGCAACATATCAGTTCCCCATCAAAACTGTGTTTTGTAGAATCATTCACAAATGCATAAAACCACATGCCTTTGCTCACTGTAGAATTAGTTGTAAGAACAATTCCAGTTACATGTCACCAGCGTGAGACTAAATAAAGAGCCACCCAGATAATGTAATCTATGCACTTTTTAAAAAGAAGAGGTAGATTCATTCATTCTTTCAATTAAAAAATTTGGTACCTATAGTATACCATATATAGTTTTGAGTACTAGGAATACAACAGCGAATAATGGTCCAAAATCCTGCCCTCATATAATTTCTGTTGGGAGGGTGGTGCTTAATAAATAGAAAGATATCCAAGTTTTACTTTGGTTAAAGAAAAAGAGTTATAAAAAATAAAATTGCTAAACAATATATATAGTATGATTCCCTTCCCATTAAAAAATTAGCGTTATTGATATATGTTATACATATGGAAGCATGCACATGCAAGAATATGTGACACACTGTTAACCTTGTTTACCTCTGAAGCAAGAATTATAGAATTCTTTACCTTGTAAGTCATCTTCTGTGTTTACTGTTTAAATTTTTTGTAATGTTTAACTTTTTTGAAATAGTGTATATTTATATTCAGGAAAAAGAATAAAGATTTTAAAATACGATTTAAAATCTTATTTTGAATAAGTCTCGTCCATATTAATACATATTAATATCTAGCCATATAAGTCATTTTTAAGATTTCCATTGAGACTTTTGGTCTAGTATTTTCATAATAGTATTCTTAGTTCAGATGCTCCATGAAATAAATGTATCTATAAACTCTTTTCTTTTTATAGGAGTTTGCCGTTGATCCAGAGAAAATACAGTTGTATTCTTTGTATCATTCACTCCATCATTATAAATATCATGTTTATCTCATATGTAAAGATGAGGTAATTACTTTTTCATTTACTTAAAAAAGAAATGTATGTTTTTCTGAACTTTAAGAAGACTGTAGCTGTAGCATTTATTTATATAATTTCTAAAGATTACACTGCAGTTACAGTTACTACAAAATATTGGCTATATTCCCTGTGTTGTACAATATATCCCTGTAGCCTGTCTTACACCCAACAGTTTGTACCTCTCACTCCCCAGCCCCTATATTGTCCCTCCTGCCTCCCACTGGTAACCACTAGTTTGTTCTCTATATCTGTGAGTCTGCTTCTTTTTTGTTATATGCACTAGTTAGCTACAGTATTTTTTAATGTTTTAAAGAGAATTGTTAAAAATTGTTTTAAAAAATGTGTCTATACTCTTAAGCATTGTGCTCAGATTAATCTGAGGCTCACCATCGCATAGGAGCTGTAAGTGGTAATGTTTTTAAGCTGTTATACTCGCTTTACGTTGCCATAATAATTGGCACTTTATTGCATTTTGTTCTCTCATACGTATAATGATCCTGCTTTAATTAATTCTCGTTAGTCACTGCTTTGAATATCTTGCTGTCCTCCTTATCTGTAGAATGGCCTTATCCCAGTTAATTGCAAAGAAAATGGGAGTTTTGTCCCTTGGCATGAAGAAATGATAGTCAAATTTTAATTGTAACTTTTAAGTATCAATTTAAGTTGCTCAGAAATTATGTATGACCATAATAACACTTGGTGGATAGGATGTAAGGATTAATCTCAGAGGTTAAATGGTTGTAGACAGTAAGCTTTTTTGACAAGCATTATCAGTTTTTTACTTAAAAAGGGTTAAGTTGGCTCAAGGCTGTACAATCATGTGTTTGATAATGGTCTGGTATGGAAAGACGTTCATAAATCTAACCCCTGTCTAGCAAAGGAGAAAGTAAAGATGGTCATGTAAAGTATGTTGGCTATTTTTACAATGCCCTGAAACGCAGAACTTACCCCCAAAATTTGTCATTCGGCTTTTAACACAAATGGAAGTAATTGAGAAAGTTTGAACCACTTTTTCTAGCCTTCCTCCCCACCCCCATGTAGTCAAAAATGATAGGATTAGACCACCCAAATTTATATGAAATAGTCATTCTCCGTGGATGGAATTTTTTAAAAAAATCTGTACTTGTAGGTGAATTTATAAATCCTCTTTTCATTCAGGATATAGAAACAGTAAGCCCTCATGAAGAGCTTATAAAGTGATAAGTATAAACCAATTTGGTATTTCTTTTTATTTTAGATTTCTTCTGTGCAGAAAAAAAATGAAGATTTAGGACAGGAAGAAATTGTCCAACTTTGTATGAAAAATGTAAAATGGGTGGAAGACCTATTTGAAAAATTTGGAGAACTTCTAAATCATGTACAGCAGAAATGTTCCTAACATTTTCACAAAAATTCCATCTATTTTCTAGCACTAATAAGACAGCAGAGGCGGGTGGTCAAAGGGGGTCTAGGGGCCTCAGATAACTGAATGTCAAGCAGTGGTCTCCTGCAAGCACGCCTGCTTTGATCATGAACTTGCATCCTGGTCTCTGCTAAAGGACAGTGGTGCTGCCAAGGAAGTCAGTCCTTTGGAAATGGACCTAAAATCCCACCACGTTTTTATCCTAATGAATGATTTTTCTACTTTGTAAACCATTGGGTAACCGAGTTTTATTTTCAGAAATGTTTTTTGACAAATGATGAAGCATGCACTAAATATAATTTTTCTTTATTGCTAGAGAGGTAACACTTAAGTAACATGATTATTTTTTCCTGACTCCGACTAAACACCAGAATGAAAGAGAGGTGGCAGAAAACATGTTAATATTCATGTCTGACCACAAAACGGAAAGTACTGTACATTATGTAAACATATCTGGTGTGATGTGACATTCTGTATGAGAACACCATCAGTTTAAAATGTAAAATTCAGAAACTGCATTCTGGTTTATGAACTTTTACTCTTAACATGTTCAGGAAACTGGATGTGGAATTGGTGCAATTCTATGACTGCTTTTTGTGTCAAATTATATGGTGATAAAAAAACAATGACATACTATTTTCCCTATCTCAAAGAAAAGTATTTTCCTTTATACTGTTTTTCCTTTGCAAAAATTTTCAATTGTACATTTTATTTCACTAATAGTTGTATTTTTCACAAGGAAAGTGTTGTGGTTATAATTATGTTTGATGTATCTGTACTACACTTTTCATTATTTTCAGTAAATCTTATTTAGTTATATATTGAATTTCTATTGTGAATTCTATCTTGAGGTAACCATTTTTGTTTATACAGATTTGCTTCAGTGTTATCCAGAATATGCATTCAGTACTAGAATTAGTTTAGCTTTATAAATGGGGTTGTGTTAGACACTGCAGGAATTTTCTAATTCATGAAAATAAATTCCTTAGTCAACTAGCACTTGGTTAACTGATTTGTCGAAGTAAAAATTAACCACATTATACATTTTGAAGAATGAAATTTATAATTAGACTACATGCAGTGTTAAACACAGCTTACCCAACTCTTAGAACTGGAAGTGGTAGAGCCCTCCTTTTGGTGCCTTTCCAACCTTTATATATGCTATTGTAGCTCTCTTTAGTTTGATAGCTAGTGTTTCTTCAAGTAGTTTAGCTGAGACCATGAATGTATTAGGTTCAACATGACCTTGTGTTTTATTTGTGTTTGCCAACAGGATGCCTTATTTGTTTGAGAAAAAGATTTACTAGTGTCCTCCTAAATGATCTCCTTTTTTACAGTTCTAAAGAAGTTGTTAATCATCATACTTTTGTTTATTTTACCACCATTTAGTGCCTTAAGTAAGTCCTATCAAGAAAGCAGTGTCACTGCTCAATGCCCAAATAAGACGTGCTTATGTAGATACTGCTATTGTCTTGATTTTGAGTTAACAGGCCAACTTCTTACACTTAAAACCTTGGTAAACTGGCAAAGAATTAAAAGTAACACGTGACTTGATTTGAGAATAAACATTGTAGCATTGGGTGAAAAGTGAGTATTTGAGTTGAGCTTACATATTTATTTCTGATCGTTATCTTACTGCAAGCAATAATCCTTAATCCAACAATCCTTGTACCTGCCATTAGACAAGATAATCATGGAAATTTCTCTCAAGGATTAAATGTTCCATTTCTGAAAGTCTTTTGAAAACCTGTTTAGGCAGCTTATTTTGAAAACAAAAGTAACCTACTAGATTCATTTTGCCTATAACTGACTCAAATGAGAGAACGTCAGCAGTGAGAGCATCATAAAATTAAGTTTGCTAAGTGGAGAAGAGGAGGAAGCAGCCATATTTCTTTCTGATATTGACTCTGGACAGAATTGGTTTCTTTCATTTCCAAAGTGCAGAAGTAGACAACTACATCTCCTAACGTAGTGGTGTAAGTCTACACCTTGACGTCATTTCCCCCAGCTTACTTCCCTGAAGCATTGATGGTTTGAACATTTTTAAAAGCCATCCTGCACTTAGGTAACTCTTGAAGTACACGTTTGAAATCACTAGGCACATTTCCTTCATGATAAGACCCATGGAAAACAGAGACCTTTCCTTGTGTCCTGTAGAAAATAACCCATTTCCTTTTCAACTGCAGTTGCCCTTCCAGCTGTTTGCAGTTGTGTTCATATTAGTCAAATCAGAGGCCAGGTGTGTGATACTGCCTGGAGGAGAGCCAGTTGCTTTGCACCGTCTTCTGTCATTTGATCCATATAGCATAGGCAAAGGCTTGATATCAGACTCAGGCCTTAGTGAAGTGGGACTATTAGTATGACATCCATACATGAGTCCTTTCTTTGTATGAAGTTGAATAAATACCTAGCTGGTTAGCACTCACATTCCTTGCCAGGGAGTTTGAAATGTATAATATAGGAATAACCTTAGGTTGTAGATGGAGTTCAAGAGATAAAGCACATGTTGCTACAACCCAGGAAAACCTGTTTAAGAAAGATTGGATTTTCCTACCTACAGAAACCTAGAAACGATTTACTCCTTAAAAACATCACTTTGTATTGGTATTTACTTCTAGTTCAGATTAGTGGTTAGAGAAAAGAAGCCTCCTTATTCCCATTTCATGATGACCCAGTTTCTACTTAGTTGATCTTCTAATGAAGTCATAAATTTATAATGATTTATGAATTATAGTAAACAATAGAAACTGCCCATTTTTGTATTATACTATCAGATAGAAAACATTGACGAGATGGAAAAATCTAAACTTAAAATGGCCTAGAAAATATTCAGATTACCTTTAAATTTCTAAATTTCTTTTAATTTCTAAAATAGTGAAAATTATAGATGGCTCACATCATTACTATTTTCAAAGTCTCACTTTCCTTTTAATATACATATTTATTTTTGTTAAAGCAGCTATTTTCCAACCTGTGATTTTGGAGATATACCCATAAAGCTAATATGGCAGCAGGGTTATTGAATCAGCTTTGGGTCCCAGAAGTTGCTTCAGATGTGCACGTTGTGAATTTTATTGTATCTATAGAATACAATTTTGTTTTAAACTGTAGTTCCATCTGTTTCTCAGAAATACTTTTCAAAGAGTGAAATATCCCAGGATAACTGCTTCTGTGTCAATTACACTTGACACATAACTGCACAAATGGAACAGTGTACACTATTGGTTGTACGTTAACTTACACGTACGACTTTTGGCACCTGTGTTCACAAATGCATGTTTTGGCAAATCACTGTTATTTATAAGTGACAATAATTGAAGTTAAGGATACAAAGAAACCTGCATTTGTAGTCCAGAGTTTTAAGTGGTCCATAATACAATGTATGGAAATGTGAAAGACAATTTTGTATATTTGTTTGTTACTAACTCAGATCATTAAAATGAAAACAATTTTTTAAACAACAAGATCAGAATGTTTTGGGGTTTGGTTTTTTTATTTTTAAGAATTGAAAACTGAGGTATTATCCATGCATCATCAAGTTACAGACTCAACGTACATTATAGAGTCCTAAGTAAAGTTATTAGGTACAAATGGTAAAGGGCCCACCCATCGTTTTCTCAAATGATTAAGTCAATATTTGATGAATTATTCAGCTTCAGCTGACAATATCAGAAAGTATTTAGGAGTTTCTGTGTTAAGATACAACTCTTTTAGCCCTTTTCCTCCTATAAAGAAGTATAAGTCCTATAATTTCTTATTTTTATTTGAAAATAATGCATAGCTAGAAGTAATTGCTGATGTCCAGATACTTTTTATTATCTATATAAACTGAATAAGTAAAAAGGATTTTGTCTTGACTGATCCTTTAATTTTCAGAATAAGATTCTGCCTTTACTTTCATGTAATATTTTAAAATGTTAAGTATTTCAAGTAAAAATATTATCAGCATATTTGCTAGGTTTTAGTTTTGATTATAAAAGCACTTTTCACTCCTTGACTTTTTTTTTTTACACAGTACAAAAATAAGTCTTTAATCAGTGACCTCTATCAGAAATTTTTAAAATTCTGTAACATCTCTGTTTTATTCTCCACTGGCTGCTGAAATTGCTGTTCATTTTAGAAAATGGTCATCGTTCATATATTTTAGAAAATAGTCATTATTCAAATTATACATATGGCAAACCTAAATAATAGTACTTATACTGCACTGCTTTGTTAATGTCTTGTTACTATATGGTTCTTTTTATTAGCATTTTAAAAAATATATACTTTGTATCTCAGAGAAGCTCTCTAAACTCAATTATTTAACGTGACCTTCTCAAGGAAGATGTGAAAGAGGATACTTCTGCTCTTTGCTTTCCACGTGGAAATGTTTTTATTACCAGAAAAATAATAAAGCTACTCATTCCTGTACAAAAAAAGTCAAAGAATACGAAAAATGTATTTTAAAAAGATATAAATCACTCTCTACTAAGTCTTGACATCAGCCTAGAACATACTGTTAGTTCCCAGGATGGGATGGGTCACAAGATTTAAGCCTGTATGGGTTGCCCCATTTCTGTGGTATGGCTTTAAGTAAAGTCCTAAATTTCAGAGACACCCATGTTCAAATGAAAATTGAAAAGCACATTCCTAAGTGAAATAGAAATTATCTGGATCATTGATCATTTTAGGTTACATATGTATCTGTTCTTCAGTTAGCATGAATAATTTAGAACTGACTGGTTTCAAATAAAAGGAAGATACAATTACCTATTAGTCTGTTGTTAAGCCTTATCTATTTTGTGATGTTAATCAGGAGTCAAGAAATTGCTTTATAAGAATAGCTTATGTTTTATGTAATTTACCTATGATGTATATAGTTTATTGTTTTCTCTCAAATCAAATACAGATTTTCTTTTAATTTAGCTCCTTACAGTATTTAGAATAAGGCAACAATGAAAATCATTGAAGACATAAGAGTTAAAAATAATGGA